GTGGGATTTTACTGGTTGGAATCGGTAGTAGCTGAGCTGAGTCAACTCGCTGAGGAGTGTTTCTGTAGGCGATAAAGACGGTTCTGAGTTTGCTTTGATGGACCCCGGCGGGATGATCAACGAAGCTGGGACGTATAACATGGCGGAGATCTGGCCGTTTCCGATTAACGGTGGTGTGACCGAAAATTCGTCGATGAGGAGCGGTGTCTCGTTCGGTGGACCTAACTTGGTTCATCAGTTCGCGGACTCGAATCTAATTAGCAACACTAACTGTGTCGATCCGGCTCGTATGACACACGCGCTCTCTCAGGCGGCGCTCGCTGGAATTAGCGGTGCAAGGAAGCGACGGGACGCGGCGGAGGAAAAAGTCGGCTCCGGGAGCGACGGAAATGAAGCGGTACGGTTTGATTGATTTCCCGCTTTAATTTTTGTTGTTTCCCTCCCAATTTTTTTTCTGAAATTGAAAGATCTATGATATGAATTTTGGGGTCTATTTGAGATAATCTCATAGGAATTTATATACCTTTTTTTTTCTGTGTATTGTTGTAGTTTTGGTATGCTTAATTATTAAGTAGTTTTGTCTGGGGAAAGTGTTCTTCATCTACTAAATGTTTGCAGCTCAATTACTATGGCTAAGAGTGTACTATTAGATTAGACCCTTGTTAATCAAACGTTTGATATATTGCATAATTGGTATTGATAGTCTTCAAATTCTTCTCTGAATCTTTCAAGATACGTGTATTTAGAGTGTAAAACATGATTGAATATGTAAGGAGGTTTATTTGGGTTTTGGTGTGGAGCAGAATGATGGTGACAGTAAAAAGCAGAAGACTTCGGTGTGCGTAGATGAATCGAGTGACGGGAAACCCGAAACAGGAACATTGGATCAAAAGAAGCAGTTGCCTGAACCTCCAAAAGATTATATTCATGTGCGAGCAAGAAGAGGACAGGCTACAGATAGTCACAGTCTAGCTGAAAGAGTACTTATAATAATTAACACTCTTTCTTATAATACTAGTCTCTTTTTTAACCTTTTGAGCTAAAAATGGGAGAACTTGATATCGAGAGACTAGACTCGGTAACAGAGTTTTCTTGGTTTGGCAGGCGAGAAGAGAAAAAATAAGCGAGCGGATGAAAATCTTGCAAGATATTGTCCCTGGCTGTAACAAGGTATATCAAGCAATCATGGTTTCTCTCTTCATCTGTTTTTGTTCCCCACAACTTTGTTTATTTTGTTGTAAGTATTACGACGGCTTTGCATAGTGGTAACACTTGAATCTTTGTATTGTCAGGTTATCGGAAAAGCACTTGTTCTAGACGAGATAATCAACTATATACAATCGCTGCAGCGTCAAGTTGAGGTGAAGCCTTACTCCCTCTGTTATAGATGAATATATAAATTGGTTTTTTGTTGTGCATATCGTAAGACTGCTTCCAATTTCAGTTTCTATCGATGAAACTCGAAGCGGTCAACTCAAGAATGAACCCTGGAATCGAGGGTTTCCCGCCAAAAGAGGTTAGCCCGTTGTGGTACTCACTCTTATATAACGGTCCTCCAGATCCATTGTTCCCAAATACTTGCTGCTTCTGGTAACATTGCTGGGTTAATCTATTGATGAAACTCAACAGATCATAGGCTTAGATATGAATGCAGTTGATTTACCCCAACCTCAAGACTCTGTTTTCTTCTGGATCAATATTACTGCATGTTAACAAACCTTACATAGTCCACTGTTCTAGCATTTACCGTACGATTTGATCCGTTTTGTAATTTAGTCACTTTGGTGATCTCAGTTTGAGCAGCAGCCGTTTGAGAATCCGGGGATGCAGTTCGGGTCACAATCCACTAGAGAATATAGCAGAGGAGCATCACCGGAGTGGTTGCATATGCAGGTAGGAGGTGGTTTCGAAAGAACAACGTGAATACGGAAACGTCTTTTTACATATAAAATCTACAAATAAGAAAGAAAGCTATTGGAATTTACTATACAAATTTGGATCTCCAATGAAGAAGCACACGTATAAAAAAAACAATTACATAACTACATACAAGGTTTATGTGTATATTGTTGTAAAGAAAGCAAAGAGATGTTAGATTCCTAGTTTAGACATGAAGCAAAGGGGTTAGGGAATATGAAGATGTTTTCTTTATTGCTGTCTCGGAATATGATAGTTATGATGTCAGTAAAAAAATGTTCTTTGCTACGATTCCATACTGCCATCTCTTTGTGTACCGTAATTTCTTACCTTAATTCCATTGTAATCTCTTATCGTTATAGTCATTTTTTTTTACCGCCATCTCTTTTCTATGTTGCTTAATTGACTGCCATCTTTTACCGTTATATTATTTATCACAAAAAATGTCTTAAATTACAATTAGATTCAAAACTGTTAGGGCATATGAAGTGAAAAAATAACTTTTCATTGTTTTCATTTTTTGTTAAAATATTAATCTGGTATCAACAACATACATAGGACTTAATGCATGTTAAGTGCATCGATTACTGTATAGGTTTACATATTCTGATCATACTGATACAGATTCAAAGGTTTTAAAACGTAGGAAATTAGTGTCTAGTTTATGTAATTGATTGATGATTACCGTGTCAAATTATTTAGGATGATAACCAAAGATCCCGGTTTTTATCCTCTCCGTACCATTTTGTGGACTAAATGTGAAGGTGCAAAGAAAGTGGGCCCGTCATAATAAGCGTTTGGGCTATTCTTCGATACGAATTTTCCTTCGTTTACGAGAAACTAGTGTGGTATCCGCGTCCGCGCGGGATAGTTATATTGAAAAAAACTTTTAAAAATTTTAAACAAAAACAAAAACAAAAATATCCCAAAAATAATACTACCAAATATGATTCAAAAGGTGAGTTTACGTTGCGTGGCAGAATCGATAGTAGACGCTCTAATGATGGTTGATGAAGACAATGAGATTGCAGCGAAGATCCAAGCCTTTCTTCACTCCAAATAGAGTAAACAATTGATTGGAGAATGAGCTTAATAATAGTAGTAGTATGTCTTTTTTTTTTAGACCTAAAATGATTGATCCACAAAATTGCATCATGTAAATCCATTAGAGGATTAGATCAGACCATTGAGGCATAAGAACTACAAGTTCATGCGGAGAATGCACACTCAAAGTAAAGATGGTCGTGGCTATCCACACCGGAAGCACAAAAAATACATTCGGGTGGCACATTCAATCTCCATATTCTTAGCCTATTCCTTGTTGGAATTTTTTTTGAGAATTTCCAAGCAAGTAGAAAATAAAAATCAAGGAACGACTTCTAAGAACCATAGCACTTTAAACCAAAAAACTGTAGGAGATAACCCTTTAATTGCTCACACGTATCTTTCGAAGAAAAGTTTGGTGTAAACATAGGTACCGCACTGCGCGATAGAAATTTATCACAGCAATTGGAATTTTTGGCCTGGACTTGTCTCCGCATCTTTTAGAACATCTCTAAAACTCTCTTTCGACCATTGCTTTCCATTTGCCTCTTTGGTAGTTTCACAAGCATGTTTGTCCTTTTTTTCTTTCTTCTCTTGTATACTCATGTTGTTTAATCTCAATTTCCCGAAGTTCTTGATTTTTTAATGTATTTTTTCTCTTTCTCCTATTTTCTATTCAAGAGACTCAAGAGACTCTTTCATCTTCTCTCAATCCCTTCCTTCTCAAAAACTTCATATCCTTGCGCGGGATATGAATAACAAAAAATAATATTTTAAGATTGTAAGTTGATCAAATCAATTATTTATTTTAACTAACAAACACTGTCGATACCCCAGCCTTGCCTCGTCTCTTATCCGCATTCCATCTCAGCCGTTATCCATCACGTCCCACCTCTTACATGTTCCGTCTCAACTCTTGCCCGTCCTGTCCCAGCCCTTATCCGCATCCCATCCCAGTCCTTATTCGTCTTGTCCCACCCCTTACCCACTGACCAAGTCCTACCTATGATGTATTCTATACCTGTAACATTCCATGAAATATAATTGAATAATCGAACATAATATTATTTATAAAATCAATATTAGATGTTATAAATGTAACACTTTTTCATCGTTACCATCACTGCCAAAAACAACTTGAATAGCATACGGAACATAGGCTATTAGATCGAATCCAAGTCTCTCCCATACCGAAGGATGTGCCTCACAACGTTATAATTTTTTTATCTTCAAAATCTTATCGTGAGCGTCGATTACCCATCGATACTTGTCGGTAAGTTTTATACAAAAATTATAATCACACAAGGAATAGAAAGATTAAAAAATACAAAAAAATGAAAACCTACATTGGGGAAGAATTCTGTTGAGGTTAAAATTCCTCAGCGTAACATCCTCGAGCAAAACTTTAGTTTAGAGACTTCTTGGTGTCATCATTATGCATCTCATTTCAAGATATAAATTCTTTTTCTTCTTCTTAAAATATATGAGCGTAAACCCTCACAATGTATGTAAAATATTGAAAATAGTTTGTATCTTTTAACAAATGAATGGGGGTACTAAACCCTAATATGTAAGCCTAAAACCTCACAAATACATATAAAATACTGAAAACAATACATGTATCCTAAATCCTAGAATCCTAGCAAACATGTAAAATTTGATATTTATGTTTTTAGTCACTTTATGCCATCAATATATAAAAAAAATTAGTAGTTTAGGAGTTTCATAGAACAACTTGATCGATAAGGTCCCATTTGATTTATTTGTTATTGTCTCTACGTAAAAAATTTGAGAGATATGAGGTGATCAACAAAACCGTTCTATCGTTTAGATACGTAAAACGGCCTCACCGAAAGTAATTTTCACAGTGAACCAATCACACACAGAAATCCTTCTCCCACACAAATGGTTTGTAATTAACTGCATAATAACCTACATATCAAGAAACTACAATCAGTAAAAATGGTCGAAAATCTAAGGCTTAAGAATGAATCACTCTCCAAATATATATGATTGATTGGCTTCATGAAAGTTTGATGCAACCACAAATTATTCACAATCGACTGTTGTATCTTCTTTAAGTATATTGTTCATTCTTTTTCAATTCACATTGGTGAAAATCGGACTTATTATTTAGATTTACATAAAAATTTGACAGACCTAACATAGATGAAGTCAATTACTATTACAAATTTCCTAATTTCACTAACCTAATGAAAGTACACAAAAGAACTTAGAAACCGACAATGATAACAAATACAAAATTTAATAATTAAGAACACAACAATGCAATACATAAATTAGAAAAACAACAGTTTCGTTTATAAGAAAATCACATGTTTCGGAGAGAACCTCAAATGACAAAAAGGTACATGTTTGTCTTTTTCTTCTACTTATTCGAAGATACATACTTGGTGTGCTTCATATATTTTGTGAATTTTATCTTTCTGATCTTTTGCTACCTTTCCTAACATGCATATTCCAATCATGTTAAGATGGGACCAATTGTTATTTTGTTGTTGTTTTGCTCTTTTAATTTAACAAGTTTAGCTTGAATAAATTCGTTTAAGATCGGTTGCCCCAATAGAATCGCATAAAGACACTTTCAAATGAGTGAGATTATTATTTTTCATGAATAAATTACGAATAAAGTATTTTTTTTTTATAAAAGATTTGGTTAGAAATCATGTTTAGGTTTTTCAAAAGAGACAAAAACAATTTAAGGAACAAAAAAATCAACATTTTTTGAAGAGGGAAAGAAATGATCTCAAAAATGTTATAGGATTTTTTTTCTTTACTTGCACGTATGTTATTGTTTGCTCTTAGGAGCAAATTCTTCATCTTCGTTAGTTGCTTCATGATCACGTCTTTGAAGTTATCCTCATTGTTAGTTTTCTTCTTCGTTGCATATATATTTTTTCCCTGTGTTTTGAATGATGATAAGAAATCATATCTCAATTTTTGTTCTTAGATTTTTAACCTCTCAATTAATATAGTTAGTTAAAAGTATTAATTAATAACTCTGTTTTATTTGATTTGCTTTGGTAGAAAATATTCTCTATTCAAGAAAATATTTTGATAATAATTATACTTTGTAGCACAAAATTCAAAACAATAAAAAAAATTAATAGAATAATAAAAAACAAAATTAATTTGGTTAATTTAAGAAATTAAAAAAAAAACAGAAAATAAAAGCCATATTCATTATAACAAAAAATGAAAATTAAAAGTTAATTTACCTAAAGCAAGAAATCACTTGGTAAACAAATCATCATGATTCGGTTGTCTCTTTGTACCTGTGATACGACATTTACTTTTTTGCTAATGATTTTTCGATATGAGTTTCTATTTGATACATCGTCGCTATTATCTCCATTATATTCCTCAAAACTCTTTCTTTATTTGCTGTCATATTCCTCTTCCTCTTCACCATCTTTGTTCTCTTTAACAGTGCGCATTCTTCTTCGTTCTATTCTCCATCGCATTTAAAATATAGACGATATGAACAAATAAATCATTAACAATTTGGTTTACTCATATTTTTGTGACGAAAAAATATTTTTCACCATCGGCTTAGTGTTTCGTGGCCGTCTATTTTTCTCAAAATAAAGAAAAGCTAAAATCACTCTATAAGCAATAAAAACATATATTTTGATGATATACAATTGATCAAAAGAAGCTTGATCGGAGTTTAGATCTATCAAAATATGTTATGTTCCTTGCATAAGAGAACAAAATGAATAATGATTTGTTTGACATGATCTTAGTACTGCTGGTCTCCGGCTCTCGCTATTGTTTTCTTGTTTTATAGTGAACCTTATTCTTATTTTCGTTGAAATAAACTAACATACAAAACAAATCTTCTAAATGTAACTAACAAAGCAAACTACAGAACACTA